ATGAGATGTTGCCACGGCTTTTGTTAAGCAGTAGTAGTAAAGCTGCCATTTACTCATAATCAAATAATACCACAGCAGTAGTAACAGCAGCGTAATCATCACAATCGTGTATCACTATAAGTAATACTATTATTATCATATTAAGGTAGTAATCTAAAATAATACTCATGCTCATACCATCACCACCACATTAAAGTAGTTAGTAAAACTCTTCCTCGTAGTCGTCCTTTTATAATCATCATCATCATCATCATTTTCTTCTTTTTCTTTTTCTCTAATGCATTATCGTTATCCCTTGTATGATGATTATATTGGGAAGTAGTAGTAGTAACTATCGTGTCATATAGCTTGCTTTATCATAATCTCCATTATGAGATTATGACTACTATTGAGAGTGTTGATGAACTCTGGAGTATTAATAGTAAATTGAGAAACGTTAGTACTTGAGAGATAGACTAAGTATTATTATTATTGTTGTTATTATTATTCAATGTAGCCTTCCGAGCCTCTTCCAATGTAAGTAATCTACCATATTAATCATAATACAATTATAATGATTAGTATGATGATAATAACTTTTTCCTTACCTAGGCTCATATAAGAATGATGAGGATGCTGCTGCTGGTAATTTGGGTAGGAATATGCATACATTGTCGTGTAGTATGATCTTAACCAACAACCATTGTATTATTGAATCACCATCATCATCTATGAAGGAATCTCCTATTTGGATAGTATCTACTACAAGTACCACTACTACTATTACTACTACTACTACTACTACTACTACTACTACTACTACTACATATATCATCAACATCATTACTACTACTACCTTTATAGGCTGTATCGGATACCTCATTATGAGCACTACTCTCATCATCATCATCGTCATAACAATACCACTCATCATCCACATCATCATCATCATAGTATCCTCCTATTAATCCTCGTTCCAATACAATATCCATAAGAGTCATATTTGACTTATTATAACCATCCCTAATAATACCACTCATATTATTATTACTAGTATAGTTATGATGATATTAACTCTACCTGGTCTTCTTTACAGTTGTTGATGCGGCGGCTGCTTGGGCTGCTGCTTGGGCTAGATTGATATTAAAATCTATCCAAGCTGCCTTAGCACGATGATGTGCTAAATCTTGTACATCCCATGGTAAGGTATTGAATAACTGAAGATATGATAATAATAATAATCCAGAAGTTATACTATTATTATTATGATGTTAATGTTAATGTTAATTATGACCTTTTTAGGCATATATTTATCCTGTCTACCTAGGAATACTTGTGGATATATAGATGATTGTATCTCCCCACCAGAATAATGTACTATCTTAATATCATCATAACTGATAATCATCATAATATTAACTTGCTGCTGCTGCTGCTTGTGATGATAGTAGTATTACCTCATATGTTGCCATTTATGTGTTAATGGTACACCACCATGAAGTTGAATCTCAAAGTTGTAACTCTGATCTATATGGGTTAAGTAACTGTATAAAATGATAATAATAATACTACTACTACTAGTAGTATTGTTGTTGTTGTTATTATAAGTACTCACGGTGCCAACATCCCTGCTAGATAATATTGTTCAGGGGTCATACCTTTAAGATGATGTCTATGAGGAGTGGTAACATCTTCCCTAATAATAGATATATTATTATTAGTAATAGTAGTATTACTTGAGTAAGTTGAATATATCCTTATCAGGTGATACTAATATAACACCAGCATTGATTAACCAACATCTACCATTCATTTCTTGTCCATGCTTTAACCACAATGATGGTGTTAGTAATAATGTATCATCATCATTATCATCATCACGATGATTATTATTATGATCATTGGCAGTAGTATTATACCATTTACTGTTCTCCATAGCAGCAGGGGATCTCAAATCGAATAAATCATGAATAGGTTTTAATACACATATATCACAATCAAGGAAGAGTACCGTAGTATAGGGTAATACTAAATGATGATGATGATGATGAATAAGAACAATGTACATAACTATTATTATTACCATCTGGATTGAATATATGTAATTTAGTGAAAACCTCCCTAAACCAATCCTTCTTGTATAATGATGATGCACCATATATTATTGGTACACACACCTAATAAAGATAATAAAGTTTATTATTATTATTATTATTATTATCATTATTACGGTATTATCAAATATAGCATTAAGTACTGCAATATGTTGTATTGGTACATCATCCGTATAAAGGCATATAACAGGATAGTTAGTAGTAGTAGTAGTAGTAGCTGTTTTATGTATACTATTACAGCATGCTATAGCTTGTGCAATAATATCAACCTAATATTAATATCTAATAATCTACTTCACCAACAATAATAACATTAAGTAGTTATTATTATTATTACTCTATTCCCATATACCAAACATACATAGGCATAAGTAGCAGTGCCATCTGCCTTATTCCTATCAACTCTTTTCCACATTTTCTCTATAGACCTATCCAACTCCGTTATTAATGTTTTCCATCTGATAATAATGATAATACCATAATATCCACATATTGTTATTATTGACACATTGTGAACAATAATGTTGTAACATTATTACTCATCATGACAACAATCCCTCAAATCATCTTGATATGATCGATTATCATAACGTCCTAATCGTAGTAGTCCCAACTGATTATCATCATCATCACAAGATGATCTTTGGGGGATAATTCTCATGATAGTATTAGGCACCAAAATCAAACTATGATTATCATCATCAGTAGTAGTAGTGTATTATTACCACTCATAACACAACCTTCTATTACTACGTTGTAGTATTAATGATAGTAAGTAAACACACAAAGAACTACTACTATTACGGTCGTTCCTCCTCCTCCTCCTTT